ACATAGGTATAATTTAAAAATTTTATTAAAAAAATGATTAGAAGTTAAAAAATTGATAATTAAACTATTAAAAAATGATTAAAAAATGATTTTTAAAAAAAATTGATAATTAAACTTACTAGTCCTTATCATATTTCATTAAAATTTAATTAAGATAAAACAAATTCATCGTACATTTAAATTAATTTGAATTTTGAATTTGAATTTTAACATTTAGCATTGTGGAATCAATGATTCACATGAGACCATCACTTCTCTCATCGGATGGTTCATATTCATTGTTACCATTACATCTTGCTGCTGCATATGGTCATATTAACGTATTGGAAATTATTCTTAAAGTAAAAATTAAAAAAAAAAAAAACTTTCAGATTTTTTTTTCAGAATCTCAATTTTAATTGATTTTTTTTCTAATTTTTTTCCTCCTTTTTTTTATTTTAATTATTTATGATTTTTAATTCAAAAAAAAAGAAGCGAAAAAGGATAAGAAAAGAAAAAAAATCAAATATTGCTAATAATTTTTTCTTTTTTTTTTCTAAATTTTATTATTAGTTTTATTTTGAGCATTCTTCTGATGCAAAGAAAACAACGAAAGCTAATCGAACAGCATTGCATTTTGCAGTGGAACGTTGGGATGGTAACGCTGATAAAGATATGCAACGCCTTTCTTGTATTCAAGTAATTCATTTCCGATGTTGTATTTAATTAATCACTCATTAAGTAATTTGATAAAATATAGCAGTGAGATGCTGCATATTAATTATACAAAATATTCAAATTCATGAATAACTTAAAATTTATAGTTTTGAAGTGTACAATTTAAAACTGAGTTAAGGTTTAGATTTTCAGAAATGTTTTTCTTTTTTGTAATCATTTCAAATATTTCATTTCCAGTTACTCGTATCTTCGGGTGTACCTTTAAATACACGTGATTGTGACGGAATGACGGCGCTACATTTAGCAGCCCAAGCAACTCAAGGAGAAGCTGCAATAAGCAATGATAAAATACAAATTGTATTACAAATGAAAAAATCAAATATGGTAGTTTATTTATTATTTATCATGCTATTAAAAAATAATTATTAATTAATTAATTAATTGAACAAGAAAAAGAAAACGGAACCTTATTAAGTGACTTATTTTTTGAACAGTTAATATAAATGAGAAAAGAAGCTAAATTTAGTTTATTTAATTAATAAGTATTTTGGTATTAGATTTCTTTTCAATGAATTTTTTAAGTCATCTTTCATTTTTTGAAACTAAAATAAGCAAAAAAGTTATTTTGCTTTAGCGTTTGGAGGAACTTGCATCGACATTTCGTCCGCACTGGCCTGTTGCGGTAATGTGTTTCCTAATTGCGCAAGGAGCAGATCCGCAAATTCGTGATCGTTCCGGATCTGTTCCATTTGAATTAGTTACCGAACCAACTCTGAAATCGTTGTTTGAACAATATGTTACTTGCAGACCAAGGTTAATTACAATGATAATAGTGATAGTGATAGTGATAATCAGTATTACTCAAAATGATCTTAGTAATTAACGTCAATAATGATATTATGTAAGATATTTTTCAATTTATATTATTGAAGTTTTAGCAAACTATATTGAAATAAATAGGAACTGAATAATGATTTTAATTATTAAGGAGTTTTCTGCTTTCATTATTCAACTATTGTTGTTTTAAAATACGATATCTATGATTAACGAATTTAGATTTTATGAATTTATTATTAAATCAAAGCTCTTCCATTTCTTAGTAAAGTAACTACAAAAAATAATGTTAAGAAAATAAACCAAAATGATTTATTTGGTCCAATCTGATTGCTGTTTTCATAAAATATTAAATTTATTTCATCCATTTTTAATCAAATACTATTCAAAAATTATTTTAATTAATTATATTTTTTTTTGCTTACAAAAATTAGCTATTTCACAAATTTCAGATCATGCATTCCAATGAGCCGTACGATAGCACGAAGCTTTGATACTACCGAGGTGACAATGTGTACATTTAACTGTGATGACAATAGAGCAGATATTGTTTTCATTCCGTGCGGTCATCGAGTAGTTTGTGCTACCTGTGCCGGTAACACTTTACTGAGACGTTGTCCGTTATGTTATCAGCAAATTATTACGGCAAAAAATTCATGTATGATTGTTTATTGGAAGTTTTTTTTTTTTTTTTTTTTTTAAATCTTAAAATTATAATGTTATGCTATTATTGATTTAAAAAAGAAAAGCAGAAAGAATAATTATGTCTGATAATTATGATAACAAGAAGGAAAGTTACAACTAAATCATTGCTATTGTTATTAAACTATTTAAATTTGCAAACTATTTTGGTATTAATTTTCATTCAAATGTTAATTTGTTATTGCTGCTTACTATTTATTTTAATTGTTACACACATTACTTTGACTTTGCTTACTCATTATGCTTTGTATGTTTATTAATTGTAAAATAAATGAAAACAGAAGTACCAAATAGATTTTGCTGATACATTTTGGTACTTATATATGACAGGTTGATTTCAATAATAATATGATAATAACAATAATAATAGTTATAATAATAATAATAAGAAGAAACAATAATTATAATACATTAGATGGAGAAATGGTTGAAATTGGTGGTAATATTATACGATATAGAAAATATAGTGATGCTGAATTGGGCGATAATATCAGAGTAGTAGATAAAGCTGAAATTGAAAAAATTGCGCAAGAAGCTGTTGAACGTGCCAAGAAAGCAGCTGAAGAAGGTAAATAACTTTTTTTTTCGTTTTATTTGTGTTTTTTTTTTTTTTAAACGTGTTATGGATAATCGTACGTAAGCTAATTGTATTGATAAACCATATTTAATTTGAACTTAGCTTACATAAGTAGTACTAGACTAAAGCGTTGTACAAAATTAAACTGAAATATGAGTTGCCTTAAAGAAATAATAATAAATAATATGCATATAAAAGATATGCAACAACACAACGAGTAAATAAAATATCTAACGTCATTTGCGTCATTGTTTCACGTTAACACTGCTAATATTTGTATCCTTATTATGCATTTGTGTTCTTTTTTCTTTTACTTTCTTTTTTTCTTGTAGAGAAAAATGAAATAGTGCGTGAATTACGTGATAAGTTGGAACAACTGGAGCTCGAAGTTACGTGTGCAATATGCATGGATCAACGTTGCAGTATTGTATTTCAATGTGGACATACAGCATGCGTGGAATGCAGCAATCCATCAAAATTGAAATTGTGTCATATTTGTCGACAAATTATCAAACGACGTACGACAATCTATACGTAAATAGAAGATTAGCATACAAAAGAAAAAATTTTGAAATTTTAAATAGACAGAATTGCTAATTGAATTATTAATTACTTAAATAGAATCTATTATGGTTGATATAATTTGCTTGAATTCAATTTTACCATAGTTTATTATGCCTTGTTAAAATTTTAACTTTAAAACATTGAATCGAAATAAATAAAATTAAATTTTAATTGGTTACCGATTAACCTTAATCACAAAAACGAAACAATTATAAGTGAATCACACAAAATGTCGAATTTTGTTATTGTAATGATAAATGATTAAGCTAAAGTTATTCCATTCTTGAATTATCTGTTGGATCTTATTGTGTTTCTAATGAAAATTATAATTAATATTGAACATTAATGTGCTTATTTAATCTAAGAAAAGAAGAAGCAAAAAATTGTTTAGCATGTCATCCAGTATTTTAGCCTTAAATTTCAATGTAATAGCATCTAACTATAAAACAAGAAAGACAGTAATAAAGAAATAAAAAGAGAGAAGCACTTGATGAATATATACTCTATAAATGACCTTTGCTTGAACTTTGACATTCTCTGAACTTTGATTTTAATGTGTTTAATATATTGTGAATTAATTTTGATCAGTTTATCACGAAAAAAAAAAATAGATAAGTAATGCATACTGTTCAACATCATTTCGTCATCTATTTCAATAATCTATTCATCATTCTTTTTTAAACTGCCATACACGCATGTATCCACACATACGGACATGCACACGTATAACGCACACGTACGCACACGTGCACACACATACACAAAGTTTTACATTTATAATTTAATTTAATTCAATTTAGTTCAAAATAATTCTTTAGAAAAAAAATTTTCATTACACTTTAACAATACATATATGTAAAAATTTTTGATTTGAACATGATGAAAAGAGTTTGAATCAATAAATCAATAGAAAAGGAAAGGTATTAGAAATTTAAATTATTGAAATAAAAACATTTTTTTGAATATTTATTTAATAGCAAATGAATTGATATACGGTAGATAACATTCATATGCACTGCTAACAAATAAACGTATAATGATAATTGGTGAGAAAGTGAAAGATGAAATGTTATGATTAATGCTAATTACGGTATTTATTATCAGGAAATTAATATTTAATTTAATCTATGAATAAAACTTTAAATAATAATTAATAATTGAAAATATTGTATGTGAACGAGTGAACAACTGTTTAAAAATGACAAAGATAATGGATTAAAAACATTTAAAGATTTAAATTATTACAAAATTGAGTTGTTTAAAAATTAAAAGTTTTACATTTATAATTTAATTTAATTCAATTTAGTTCAAAATAATTCTTTAGAAGAAAATTTTCATTTACACTTTAACAATATTTGGTCTAAAAAATGTACAATTATATGATGAAGCACCTTAAGCAAATTTTATTCTTCCTTTCAAAAAAGGAAAAATAATGTAATTAATTAATCAACAAAACTCAAAGAAAGACAAAACTTTAAATTGGTAAGAATTTCTATTTTCATTTTTTATTTTCCATCATTTTATTCTTCTTTTAGTATTTATAAAACTTATAATAGTAAACAAACGGAAGATTTTCTCTTAGATATTACCTGAAAGGTACAACATCAAAAGATATTTCGAGAAGACTAATGAGCTAATGAATAAATGAAAATTTGTGACATTAAATCTAAGTTATTTGTTCTCTTTCATTTTTATCATTTCTATTACTGTTTCCCAAAACGATTCGTCGTCGACTTTCTGTAGTGGATAAACAGGTCGTTTCAGCTATCAGTGATTTGCTTTGTTTACGACGAAATATGACGCTGAAAGAAATTTTTTTTTTCTTTTTTTTTTTGAAATGTTAAATTTATATTCATAATTATATTGTCGACGAAATTAAAAATTTGAATTCAGTCTTTCATAGTTAACTTATGGCAGTTAAAATTTCATACTCATTTTTTTTAAATTTTTTTGAAGATTCAATTAAAAAAAAATTTAATTTTTTTGAAGATTCAAATTAAAAAAAAATTTAATAAAATATAAATAGATAGTAGAACAAATTACGTTTTGAAAGTGCTTCGAAATTCCTGCATCCTAAAATAACAAAGTGGTTGCAAGAGCGTATTTAAACACATTAACGTTTGAAAACCCCATCGTACGTAATACATAGCAGTGAATGAAATGCCCAAACGTGAACTTAAAATGTTAGCAACGAATAAAACAAAGTTTTAATCAATATTAATAAAATAATTTAATAATTTAAATTAATAAACCTATTTAGAATGAATAATATTTGTTAAAAACTTCATTTTGCATTCTAATTTATGCAATAATTTCAATTTTTCTCTAAAAATAACATTCATCCACTTATTAATTTCAAATATTACATTTTAAATAATTTTAAAATGATGGAAATTTAAATTAAAACCTTTTTAGCCTACTAACAAATAGAAATTTAATAGCTGAATATGAAATAAGATAAACAGTATATATAGCCAATACACTGCCAATTACGATTACATATTTGTTCCTTTTTAATAAACGCTTTCTTGTTCGATTGAATTCACCTGAAATTAAATTAAATAGCAAAATTTTTGAATTATACTTTTTACAGTTGTCACTCCAAGCTTATTCGTTATCTTTCTTGAACAAATGATGATAGTTATAAACTCAATCTTTTCCGTAATATTTAGACAATATTTTATCGAACTATTAGAAATAGGTAATGCATTATTAGAACACAAAATATTTACCTAATAAAATAATTCAAGTAGAAAATAGAATCAAATCTTTCTGTAATCAATAAATTTTTAATCATTGCATTTTTATCAGTTATTAAATGTGGTTTTTATTGTTTATAACTTTTATTTTAAATGAACATAGTTAAAAAAAACTTTCAATTAATAACACTTTAATTTACTTACCATTTAAACTATCATTAGCTTGACAATCATTGTCAATCGCTATCTATAAATAATGAAACTTTTTCTTAAAAAGTCATATTAATATTCGATAAAATTATGTATGGAACAATTTTAAATTGAAAGTCGTATAATTTCAAAAATAACCATGCTAAAAAAAATGATTGGAATCAAAATTTTATAAATTCTCTTTGACTTTTATTAAAATCATTTAATTTGCAAATTTAAAATTAATGCAAACAGCATACCGATGTATCATTTTTGACAATTTTTGAAATGACACGAATTAATCCACCATAGCATGCAACTGATATAATTAGACATACAAAACAAAATACAATAACAAAGATATTATAAACAAATTCGGTATTATTTGATATCTGACTATTGCGTATAAAGCAAGCTGTAAATTAAAAGGTAAAAATTTTAGTTCAAAAAACTTTTTTTCACATAAAAGAATACTTTTCTTCTGAATATTTAGTTGTTTATTTATTTTAATTTCTCTTTTCCTGAATAACATTTTCTGTTTATTTGTTTTATTTATTTGTCTATTTGCTTATTAATTCGCTTTCTTTCTTCGTAATTCCTTATTTGATCTATTTTACACTTCTATTATCTGAACAATGAAAGAAAAAAAATGAATAAATTAGTAACTACGAACTTACAGGATGGTAAACGTAGTGAATACGAAATATTGTCTGTTACTGCTGTTGTTGTTGCTTTTGTTGTTGTTGTTATTGTTGTTGTTGTTATTGCTATAGTTGTTATTGTAGTTGTAATTGCTGAAAAGCAAAAAAAAAAAAAAAATTGCTTGGTTTGATTAAATTAAATAAGAGCGGAATATGTTGGATAATTACAATATACTATAAATAAAAAAAATTAATTCTTTTTCCGTCGTTGTCATCTTTTCTCATTTCTTTTTAGGCTGATTAATTGAACATAAATAGGTTACCATTTTATAAAATGTTAACTAAAAATAGAGCTAAATTATTTCCCATGAGTAATTTTTAGAATTACTAATAAATGCATTCAATAGAAATTTATTGCTTCTAAAATCACTTATTCCATTCTTATTTAAAATCTCCTTTTACATATAATTTAGTCACAGTATTTTATATTTAATATCTATTCAATTGTCAGATATAAATTAAAAGTTTTTTACTATGTGTATTTGGCAAATTTTTGAAATATTATATGTAATTAAATTACAATATTTTAAATTTACTTACAACATATTCTAAATTGTTGGATTTAAATTTGAATTTATGCATTTTTTCAAACAAATTTTCAAAATATCACTTACCTTCGTTATTTACATGCTGACTGAAATGTTTTCGTTTCATTAAGCAATCCGGTTTAATATAAATCGATTGCTTTCGTGAACCAAAAAATAAAATGGATAATGTTAATCCCCATGCTATTATCCAACAAGTTACAATTAATAGTGTAACTCTTGTACTATAAATTTAATTCTTGCAAATGCAAAATTTAATCATTATAACTGTAACAATATATTAACTAAAGTAATATGAAAATTTAAAATTAACACATTTATCAATTTTTAATGTCAGCTTAAAACACTGAGATAACTTTTTCATTTTTTATGCTTTATATTAACAAATTTGAGTCTTTTTTCCTCTCATTTTTAATATTTCTGTTTTTTCGACAATATTTGAAGTCTTTTGCATTTTTTTTCAGTTAAATACATTATTTTTGAAAAAAAAAGAAAATGTGCGTATACAATACAGTAAGACAATGCCCGATTACCGTATGCTCAATATACTGTAGGTGGTGGTACTGTAGGGTGAGTCAAATTAATGATAAAACAATTAATTGCTGACTTAGTAACAAGACGGCGATAATGAAATGGATAAATAATATAAACATATTCATTAAGTGTAAGTATTAACAAATTCAAAATTGTTGCCAAATTTGCGAAACGTAAAATCATCAACGCAAATTGATCAGCCTTCATAAAATACATGGAAGTACTAATACCCGCGGGTAACATTTTTAATGCCCATATTATTGAGCATGTACCTGTAAAAAAAATTCATGCACCAATAATATAACATGGTAACTGAAATGATAAAATTTGGTGCTACCCTTTTATAAAATTAATTTACAATGAATTAATTAATTTATTACATATTTACAGCACAAAAATTTAATTTGCGACTAATTTTTTTGTAATATTAAAAATTTTTGTTCTTTTTATTTTGATTTTTTCAACTATTTTTTCTTCACCATATTGATTAATACTTATTAAAATATAATTATTTCATTTATGACATACTTTTAAGAAGGTCAATGATAGCAAAATTAAAGATAAGTAAATAAAAAACACGTGATAGTATATTTCTCCTTAAATGACAAAGTGTTATCATGATGGCAGCATTGAAAATTAGCGCTGCTACACCACATCCAATAAATATTGCACCAAAAATATGCGCACTTTGTGTTGGAGGCATCCATGATGACGGTGATCTGAAAGTATTTGCAATTAGTTCAAATTAATCAATTTAAGCTAATGCTAAATAATAATTTTTGAAAGAAATATGTAAAATGAAAACTATAAAAGAAGAGAAATTAGTTAAATAAATCATAGGAACATAATTAAACTTTGAAATCTATAAAAACAATAGTATTATTTGAGAATTTTTCCGTTCTTTTTTCTTTTTTGTAAAATAAAATTATTTAGAATAAAATGCAATTCATATGAAATCTCTAGAAATTACATCGAATTACCATTTTTATTGTTCTTAACAATAGCATTTTTATCGTTGTTACTATTTATTATTATTATTACTATTACTATTATTATTATCACTCCTGTTATTGTTAACGTCACTTTTTTATTGTTATTATTAGATTAAGGAGAAAAAAAAACGATGAAAGAATGAATGTTTTAAACCAAATTTTGATTGATTTAATCACGGTGTCGGTATTTTAATATTTCAAAATTTATTAAAAACAAAAAAAAAAAGAAATAATTGATAAAATTTCATACTTATTTGCAGATAGAATTGAATCGTTCGAAAAATGCATTGACAATGTTTAGAATGAAAAGCTCAAGCGATTTTCATTTCACTTTCATGGAAGTTTCAAAAAATTCATAAAGCTCTGAAATAAAGCATAAAATTCTTTAAAGCAAGCAAGAAAATTTTATTTATTTGTTATTAATTTTTTAATTTGCTTGCAAAATGTTAAATATAATATATTTAGTCTTGACATGAGAATAATATAAAATTTATTATTTAAGAAATGAATAATTTGTTAAAAAATTCATTATTGCAGAAGATGGCAAAATAATCAGCTTGAGGCTTAAATTTAAAAAAAAAAAATCATGAACTGGTTCAATATTTTACAATAAATAAAAATTTGATCGTAAAGTTGGAAAAAGATTTTGCTTATAAAAAATAGTTTACAAAAAAAAAAAGCTATTAGATTGAAGAGAAAAATGTTGAGAAATGAATGCTACAACAAAAGTGACATCTTCAAATTAATTTCAAAAAGATAGCTATTTCAGAAAAAAAAAAAATGAAAAATGTGAACACCATAACTTAAATTACATATTGAAACTAAATAAAATAATAATAATAATTAACAATTGTCGAAAAATGCCACAAAAAAAGAATAAATTATATATTTTAAATAAAATGTCAAAGTTCAAACAAAAAGTCAATGTCTATGTGATTTGCATTGAATTCATTTGATAAGTTTGAAAGTTTTTTGAATTTTTTAAAAAGCTTAAAAATATGAAATTATTAAATTTTAAGACAAATATGGGAAAAGTGCAAATGCATTGCATCAATTTTCATAGAAATAATTATTTTCTTGACATCTTCAATGTGACATTTTTAAAAAAAAAAATATTCAAAAAAAAAGAAAAAAAATGGTAGATTAGAGCAAAAATATAAGCAAAAATTAATTACCAACACAAAAATACAACAAAAAAAAGGATGGATTAATAAAAAAAATTATTTAACAACAATAGAAAGAAAAATGAAGCAATTAATTAGTCATGGTTTTAATTCATTTTTACAATTGAAATTAATTTTTATTTCAAATTTAAATATTGATTTTTATGAAAATCATACAATTTGTAAAACTTTTTTATATTAAGTTAAGTTATAAGTAAGGTAAGATAAGTATAAATTAAGAATAAAATATTCCAAAATTGAAGTAAATTTAGTTTTTTTGTTTTTTGAATAAATAAAAGGAAAGAAAATTTTTTATTTCTTTCAATGTGACATTTTCCATATTTTTATTTTTCAAATAACACAAAATTGTGGAATTTTTTCTAAAAAAAAAAAAAAAAAGGATAAACTAAGTGAAGAAAAAAAGAGCCAATTACATAAGTTAAGTGAATTAAATTGAAATCAAAACTAGTTTTTTCTTATTTATTTTCTTTCCATTCAATTTCTTTTTTCTTCTTCAAATATAAAAAAATATGAATTGTTTTTTTTTTTTTTTTTTGTCAAATATAAAAAATTCTGTTTGTTTGTATAATTTATTTTAACAAATTCTCACATTAACAAATTTACTATCAATTTTACTCTTTCATTGCTTTTTTTCTACTTTTTTTTTCACTTCTTTGTTATAAAATGTGAAGAAATAAAAATGAATAAACAAAAAAAAGTGGAAAGAAATGGAAATTTTTTTTTGGAAATAAACGATTAAATTTGAAAGGAAAATTTAAAAGTTTAATTATAATTAACTCACATATTGTTGATGGAATAGAGAAATGATAAATAGATGGTAATTGAATACGCTTTTTTTTAATATCAGTTTGACTTTTTTCCTTTTATCATATTTTAAAATGAATTTTTGCATTTGCAAGCAATGAAGCAAATATTGTTGGAATATTGATTTCTCATATATGATTTCCTCTTTTTTTTTTTTTCAATTTATGAATTTTTTATGGCAATTCGTGTTAAATGAACATTTTTGAAAGTTACTTTCGTTTTAAAAAAAGGCAAAAAAATCTGTCAAATTAAGGTGCAAAATTAAAAATTGACTAAATAATGTTTGAAGAATTGCATAATGAAATATTTCATTAATTAATTCAAAATTATTATGATTATCAATCATTAAAGTATTACAAAATTCAGTTTTTTTTTCTTTAAATATTTTATCAAATGATCGTGTAAAATTGTTAAAAATACATCAGTTTCAAATAAAATAATAGTTTAAAAATAAAAAAAATCAAGGATCAGTCATAAGCAATCGATTGATAACCAATTAATTACTTGATTCATTGAAATGTGAATAGAAATTATTTAGTGATAGAGATGATAACAGAAAATAATGATAAGAAGCTATGATATATGAAATAAATTACTTTACTGCTTGGCTTAATAAATTAAGTAGAAGTGAGTAATTAAAATAAATAAGTGAATAAAATAATTATATTATATATGAACGATAAGAAGCGATCAAATAATTTTTGGTATATTAATAATATAAAATAATATTACAATAATAATTATGACAGAACGGTAAAATCTTAAAATATATAATTTTTTAACTATTTTTAAGGCCAATATTTTAAAATGATAATTTTTGGTGAAACTGATATACAAATAAATGTGATAACTGACTGAATAGTGTGTATTTGAAAATGTACCTAAAATATAATTCGGTTATAAATATGTAATTAACCATAAATACTTTTTTTGAAATATTTTTCAAACCGAATTTCAAAATGATAATTACTGTGTGCATCTAATTTAAATTAAATGTATACAAAATATTTACTTACAGTTCACATTCTATCGCATTCTTCCATAAATTTATTATTATTTCATTTGCAAAATAAAAAAAATTGATAAAATGTCTAAAAAAAAATGAAAAAAGAATTGCTATTATCCATCAAAATTTTTCCTTTTGTTTTTGATTTTTTTTTATATTGAAATTATGACAAAAACATAAATCTTAATTAAAAATCATCGATTTATAAAAACATGCACCAAAAATAATTGCTTTTAATTTTGTTTTTTTTTTTTTGCTTGCTGAATGTCTTTTTTTCAATTTTGAATTAAAGTTTTCAAAAAGATATGCTTCAAATGATTCAAGACATCTTGAACGAATCTGATATCACCAGTGCACCTGGTATCTTCAAGACATCCTGGATGAATTTGATATCATCAGTGCATCTGGTATCTTCAAGACATCCTGGATGAATCTGATATCACCAGTGCATCTGGTATCTTCAAGACATCCTGGATGAATCTGATATCACCAGTGCATCTGGTATCTTCAAGACATCCTGGATGAATCTGATATCACCAGTGCATCTGGTATCTTCAAGACATCCTGGATGAATCTGATATCACCAGTGCATCTGGTATCTTCAAGACATCCTGGATGAATCTAACATTTTCAATGAATTCAATGTCAATTTAATGCATCTGTTGAGTATTTTTAAGCAAATTTCTTTTTTATTTTATAGAGAAATTTTTAATAATTATTAATTTGAACAAATAATTCAATGAAATAATTGAAAAATTTATGAATAAAAATTTTTTTTTCCTTCGTAAACAAAACTAATTACTAATGCAATTTCTGAAATTTATCATTTGTTGGAAGAATTTTTAGAACATTGAAAGATTCAAAAAAGAAAAGAACAAAGAAAAATCACACGCAGTTGAATCAAATGATATGAGAAAAAAACGAGAAAAATGAAAAGCTAAGAAAGTTAAAGCTTTCAAAATTTGATATTTCAATAGTTTACAATGAATATAAGATTTGACAAGTTAGTATGAAATAACCGTAGACATACTTACTTTACCTCATAAATCAATAAGTAACTAAATTTAGCATTTTCTATTGATAAAAAATATGAGATACGTCAATTGTAAAACATATAGTGATAATAATGATAATGAAAAGTAGCTACAAGTTTATGATAACAAAAAAAATAATAAATAGCATAAGTTAATTTTTGTTTGATATGATCATTATGAGTAACTTTTGATGACTGCACTAATGATTAAATATTTGAAATGAAAATAAAAAAGAAATGATAAGTTAAACATTTTTTAAATACACTCAACCAATCGTTAAAATTCATGCATTTATCAAATTATTTGCTGAATTACTTCAATTTCATTTGTTTAGATTTAATTTGAAAGATTGAAACTACGAAATTGTGCACGAAAATTAATGAAATGAATTTAGAATTTTTTGATATAACTAATTATTTTAGCTTCACATTAACATTTATCAAATATAATCATAAATTCATGTTAAATTCATTGCATGTAATAATGCACTGTAACTTTCATAGAATTCAAAATTTTTTATTTCAAAATAAAAAAACTGGAATTATTATTAGTAATATATTAAATACAACTATGTAACATTGCAACTTTTTTGATTAGCATTTTACAACAAACAATTATCGTAGTAAAAAAAAGAAAAAGCAAAAGTTTGCGGTAAATTATTATTTTAACTATTGTTATTATAACACTAATTATTATCAAAAAATAAATTAAAAATATTTTGAAAACTTTTATGGATACGTTTTCTTCCCTTTTTCCTTTCTTTCCTACAAATATATTGAAAATGAATTGGAAATTAATTGGAAATTGAAGCAATAGTTTCTTTCTCAAATTTAGAATATATTAATTGAACTTTATAACTGAGAATTGTTAACATTAAAATTAATAAACAGAAAAGTTTGCAACAAATAATAAGTAAACAAAAGCTGAGCGAAGAAAAAAAAACATATAAAATTGTTAGAAAATTAGTTGGTTATGTGAAATGTTTGAAAATTCTTCTGAGACCAATTCAAATCATTAATACTTTTACTCTATTAGAGTTTTTTTTTTCTTTTCTCTCTGAGTTAAAAATACAAATAAAAATATAAATTAAATCATTTCATTTTTATGCGCTAATGCACACGCAAATGCAAAAATTTTCCTATTTTACATAAAAGTTCAAACAAAAAAAGGAAAAAAAGGAATAAATTGTTGAAATTTTCAACAAATGATGCTTTTCAATTATTTGGTTAATTTGCTTCTCTGTTAATTGGCATTTTTAAA